TCCGTCCCCCCCGCCCACAATCAAGTGTGTCCATTTTTGGGGGGCGGGGGTCTACCTGGTAACCCTACCCACCACAGGGGAACCGCAGCAGAAGCTCCCAACCCTGCTATTGTCTCTTCCAGATACACGTCTGCATTCCTATTGGTAGAGTAAAGAATGAGAGGTGGGAGGCTGTGAACTATCTTTTCAAGCAGTTTGATTGAAAGAGGAGGGAGGAGAGGAATAGCAGCATAGGTAGCTTTTGGTGGTCTGGAGAAGGGAATAGAGTAAGCCAAGGGAGGCAAGTAAACAGTCTGACTGTTGCTGTCACTTTTTCTCCCCATTTGCTGCTACAGTTCCATTCTTGCCAATCAGGAGTTTGGCATAAGTATCTCAGGAGCTCTGATTCTAAACCTGTTGCTTCTAATTTCAGCCAGGAGCTAAGCAGAGCTTTGTTCTGCTTGATGAACATGCATTCCTCTCTCCTCTGAGGGAGAGAAGCAAGCAATGCAAGCTACCTAAGTTCCTCTCTCTCCTGGCTAATGAGGGAGGGGTAGGAGACAATGTCCTGGTATGGCAGGAAACTTGGGGGGAAGGAGGTACCTTTGTTACCTGAATTGCTATTTAAAACCCACAGAAGAATGACATTTAAAGGCTGCTTTAAAATGTCCTGTCACAGCAAAATATTTGCAATTTTCAGATAATTGGAATTCAGGTGTCTCTGCAGTGAGTATGTAGTATCCAATTTTACTGTGCATCTCTGAGTCACTGCTGAAATATGTACTGAGTCTTCTAACTGCCTTAATTTACCTATAGGTGTCATCCAGAGAGTTCATATGAGACATAATTTAAACTTATATTTCACCAGATTTTTTTATTCATTGTAGTCAGTGAAGCTAGTCTAGGCACGCATGCATCTAATGAACAATACAGGATACTCAAGAAGGGGAAAAAGTTTCTATAAACCTTCAGTACCAGATATAACACTAATATTTTTTAAGCTGTATTCAGGATTTTAGCCACAATGAGTCATTTTAAGGAAAATTGTCCTCTTGCAGACTATTTTCTTTCTATGTTTTCTTTTAATACTGTTATTTCTAGTACTTGCAATGTGTGTGGGAAGTGACAACTTTTGAAATAAAGCCATGAAACCATTTGTTACTCTCCTTGCTCTTTGGCTTTGGCATTTAGATTGTAAACAAAAGCAGTGAGAACTTTCATGAGAGATCATATTGTTTCCTGTTTATCATCTTCTTTCCTTACTGATAATTTTTGTCAGAAGTAAACATGGTGGTTGTGTCTACACTGGGCCACTTATTCTGGAAAATCAGCCACTTTTCCGGAATAAGCTGTGAGCCGTCTACACTGGCCCTTGAATTTCCGGAAAAGCAACGACACTCTACTGTACAAAATCAGCCGCTATTCCGGAAAAACTATTCTGCTCCCGCTCGGGCATAAGTCCTTATTCCGGAACAAGGTTATTCCAGAACAAGTCCTTATTCCGGAAAAGGGGCAGTATAGACAGCCCAGTAGTCTTTTCCGGAAAAAAGCCCCAATCGCGAAAATGGCAATCGGGGCTCTTTTCCGGAAAAGCGTCTGTGGCCAATGTAGACGCGCTTTTCCGGAAAAAGGGCTTTTCCGGAAAAGCAGCCTGCCAATGTAGACGCTCCTTTTCCGGAAAAACTGAAAACGGAATAGTATTCCGTTTTAAGCAGTTCCGGAAATTCATGCCAGTGTAGACACAGCCGGTCTGTTCTTGTAACAAGATAAGAAAGAGGGCTAAGCAGTTCCGGAAATTCATGCCAATGTAGACACTGTTCTTGTAACAAGATAAGGAAGAGGGCACTGGGATTGTTATAGTACTCCTGGAACTGTAATGAAGAAATTCTAGGCCAAGAAAAGTGATTATGCAATGAAAGAACATTACATTCAGCATCCTCACAGCTACTACTTATCATTAATAAATAATGCAAATATATTTAACTTTCTAATACTTCTGTTCCAGAAGACTGATTGGCCAGTACATTCCACCCACTTTGCAATGTTTAGTAGCACTACGATCTTGTATTTTAGATTATTTCACCAGACCCTTTTGTAAGTTATTCTATACTATTTTTTATGTTCTGAAAACTGCAGAGTATAAGTAAAAATATTGATGTTAGACATGCAGTCAGATTTACCCCGTAGGCATAATTCCCCTCAAGTCAATGGAAACACATCTTTTCATGGTAGAGGCATAATTCCCCTCAAGTCAATGGAAACACACTACCATGAAAAGATGTATCAGTGCTGTTTATACCACACTTTCATATGAGGGTATAATAGTTGTCAACAAAAATGTGTGTACAGCCATTATACCCATAAACTATGTTCAAATGCAAATTTTATACTTTTAATGCACCTTTTGTAGCCTCATTAAAATTACCTCTGAATGTAAAAAATGAATACAGTGTTCCTGTTAGATAAGAACTTCTGCTATGTGATAGTCATGAAAGTCTAGATAGACTGTGAAAAGTCAAGCAAATAAAATAATTCAATGTAAAATTACACTTGACAGGGATTTGAAACCTGTGAAAGCTTGATTATCATCATCCTAGTTGGAAATTTTCCAGGAGAGAGGTCAAAAAAGTCTCTTGATTGCACCAGTTCCTTTTTTAAAGTGTTCTCTTAAGATTTGTGTGTCTACTAACCTTCAGCACTCCACTGAGGACTGATAAATGAGGCAGAATTCAAAACAAGCCCTTTTTTTAGAAGGAGGTAGTGTAGGTAGGATAATTCTATCTTTATTTTGTGAATCATCTCAAAATACACTCAGCAAATGAGCTGAAATGTTGGTATAAAAACACTTAGGTTAAAAGTGCAGAGCTACAGTGTACCACAAAACTAACCCTCCCTCCCGCCCCCCCTCATTATTTTCAAAAAACGTGCCATTACTACAAAGGATCAGGAAATTCTAGACTTCACATATGTTATTTCATTTATTAGAGTGAGTGGACTTTGCACACAAGGATTATTAAATACCCCAAACTGTTTTTTATTCAGAAAAAGCACATTGGCTGCCTAACATCAAATGAATTAAAATGGCAAAAGATGCCAGGTTTTCTGTCTTACTCATAGTTTTTCCATCATAGTCACAGCTCGGCAAAGGGTTTCTGCTTCATCTGCATCTAGGGACAATCTGTGTTCCCTCTCTAACTTAAAGGTCGTCTCTATAGGATTATTCCCTTAATCTGTTCCACTACATTGGTAAGGATACTTTCACACAGGTCTGATGATTATCTTTGCCTCTATTCCCCAATCTATTAAAGAGCACATAGAAGAGGCAAATTCACCCATGTAAAGCTATGGCTACACTATGAGTTTTCTCAGCAAAAAATATGCTAACGAGGGACTCATTTGCATGAGTCACAATCTCATTTGCATATTTTCTGCCAATCCTTTTTTGCGGTACTCACAATCTCATTTGCATATTTTCTGCCAATCCTTCTTTGCGGTAGGGGTTTCTGTGCAAAAACAAGCAGTGTAGACATTTTCTTTTTGGGCAAAAAACCCTTTTTCTGCAAGATCAGTATACCTCCTTTTTGGGGGCATAAGGATCTTGAGAGAAAAGGGATTTTTGCACAAAAATAAAATTTCCACTCTGCTTGTTTTTGTGCAAAAACCCCTAGCACAAAAACGGATCAGCAGAAAATATGCAAATGAGATTGTGACTCATGCAAATGAGTCCCTCGTTAGCATATTTTTTGCCAAGAAAACTCGTAGTGTAGACGTAGCCTTAGTGGCCGTATGACCTTTCACATCCCATACATATTCCAGAGCAGAAAGCTAGGTGATTAGTAAACAAAGGGCATATACTTTTATAAAGTTAACCCAATAGAATGTTAAGGTATGTTTTCCTTTAGTAAAACAGGAAAAGTATAATGTTTAACAGGCACACTAGATTAGACAGGTTTCATTGAGGTAGCCATAAGATAGATTCATTTTTAGCCTTTCACAAGCAAGAGATCTGTGTGTGTTTCCACTATCTGAGATCTGCATGTGTTTTTTTTGTTTGACAGACATGCTGATGATAGAAAGAAGTAGTGAATCTGTAGAAATAATATATTCCAATAAAGTACATATTTATGAGAGAGAGCCTCGTTTAATATGTATTTTTCATGAATATACTTTATCTGTTTGCAGAATGAAAGAGGGGTACCTTTTAATTTAAATATTTTAGTTAATTTGAATCTTTTTGCTTTGCAGCTTACAATAGGCCTCTTCAGTTCTTTTTACTTTAGTGAGTTGCCTGCATGTCCTTCAGGAGACTAGCACCTGTCATCCATTTAAAAAATGTTGAATATACTTGGCTGTCTTTTCATTAAGAACAGATAAGAAAGGAATTCAGCAAATCTACATAAGTTGCTGTAGTATAAATCTAGTCAGAGGAAGTCAGGTTAATTATTCAATTCTTCTTCTTTCACTTTATTTAGTACATTTGTACTATGATTGTGCTTTTTCCTTTGATTGACAGAAATTAATGATGTAGACCAGGAAACTATGAAGGCAAACTCTCAGGGGTTTACTGGATGCCTCTCGTCAGTGCAGTTCAACCACTTTGCTCCTTTGAAAGCTGCATTGCATCATACCAGCTCAACACCAGTCATTGTAAAAGGACGCTTCACTGAATCTAACTGCGGTACTTTAACTGGAGCTGACTCAACATCAAGTGAAACAACCCATTCATTTGCAGGTAGCATATGGTTATCTCTTGGCTTACCCTCTAAAACACAAGAAGAGTTCTTAGAACTTCATTTGTTACTGTCTTTTTTTACACTGGGGTACAAGACAGGAGTAGATTGAAAATGTGCTCTGTTAAGTTTGTTCTCTCCATTTTTCTAGCTTCTTTTGTTTACTTTGAATATTTTCACTTTCCTGTTTACTTTCTCACAGTGTGATTTACAGCACTGACCTTTAGAACCATGTAGACCCATGCTAACTTCATAGTTCCATATTGCATGTGAACCTTAACTATATATGAATATCAGGAGAACCTTCCTTTGTATTTGTCTGTCATTTCCCCCCTCCCTTTTTTTTCCTGCTGCAGATCATTCTGGACCAATAGACGAGGGTGAGCCCTTAGCTAATGCAATCCGAAGTGACTCTGCAATTATCGGAGGTAATAGGGTCTAAGACTTTCACTGGAATCATTTTTTTAAATTAATTTTGAATCTTTCAATGCTAAAGTGAAGTCAGAGGAACCTTTGGATACACAAGGAAAACAGAATCAAAGAGAAAAGAAGCTCTGTTTTACTACAAAGAGTTAGGCACAGAGTGAAAGCGTCAAAATGATGTCTGAGTACCAATAACTCTTGTCCACTTATTATGTTAGCTTATGTAGTAACAGTTTATATAAATATTGGTATACTCTATCGATGCAAAGCATTTTAAGAACAGTTTTCTAAGCTGCTTAATTCAAGTATCTATGATATAAATAACTAGCTAGATTCCTTAGGGAGTACAGCATACTTTCAAGGAAAGAGCATTTTTATGGCTTTTTGGCTATTTCAATGATTCACTTTTGCCAGTGGAGCATTTTCAAAGTGAGGAAGCCCTTTGTTAAATAGAAGCAGCACAGCTTTTGCCTTGCCTTTATGATTGAGAAAATGGGAAATTTGCATGGCTTGAATGCCCATCATATCCTAAAGCAGGTTTCATTTTGGTTATACATTCAAAAGGCAACATGCTCAGGGATCGAGGGCCATTTGCACTGATTTACAACTTCAGAAAAGTTGGAAAATAAAATCTACATGCAGGTGTTAAAATATAGTTAGTATTGGTCAGACTATTGTTTTTCCTTCTTTCTTCTCCTTACTATTTCTGTGAGCTCTCACCACTTTTTCAGGAAGATCACATTTAGTTCTTGTTTAAGCACTATTTTAGACAATCCTTTTTATTAAAGATTCTGCAATGGGAGAATCATACACAATTTAATCACTTCAAAATGAAATATGACACTTATTTTGTGTAAGTCTCATTTTATTTTGTTCAAGGAGTGCAATATATTGTCAATAAAAAACCTTGAAATTGAGTATTATGGATTTGATGTCAGGAAATCCAAGTTTCTCAGAGCTTTTGAAATGAGCCTCTAGGAAGCCTACCAGTTTTCTATTTTCAGAAAAATAAAACCACAGAGAAGTCAAGCAAGTCTGATAATGTGAGTTTGGAGACAAAACTCTCAATTGAATTTCATTGCCTCCATGCACCTGACAAAGTGGTTTCTACCCTCAAAAGATTATGCCCAAATAAATGTTAGTCTTTAAGGGTATGTCTATAGTTAGGGACAAAGTCGAATTAAGATATGCAAATTCAGCTACGTTAATTGTGTTTACACTGATTCTGTTTACACTGCAGGAAGTTGAATGAAGAACACTGCCCTTTCAACTTCTATTATTCCTCATAAAATGAGGGTTATCAGCATTGTAAGGACACCCCTTTTGGTTTCAATTAGCTGTCTTAACTCGATCACTAATTCAAACCCTGGAAGATTGACAGTGGCAGCTTCCAACTTCCTCTTCAGTTTAGACGAACCCTGGAAGATTGACAGCGGCAGCTTCCATCTTCCTCTTCAGTTTAGACATACCCTAAGATGCCCCAAGAGTCCTCATTGTTTTAGAAGAATTTCAGTATCCACAAATGAAACTGAAACAAATATATGCCAGTGACATTCCTTGATTTTTCCTTGAATAGTTGAATCAGGTTTAATAATACTGGTACCAATGAATATGAATCAGATCTGAGTGTTTCTCAATCAAAAATTCTAGAAAATACAACCTATACTTCTGCGTATTCCTTAAGGGCCTGATTCAACTACTTTTAGAAGCCATAGAAAGACTCATTCACTTTACTGGGCAGGGAGGTTGGACTAGGCCTTAGTTAGTGAAACAAAATGCCTTTCTTTGACACTGTGTTCTCTATATGTTATAGAACACTTCTTATAGCATGGACATGCACAGTCACCTCATCAACCTTGATTCTGCCTTATAATGATGATGTGGAGTAACTAAGGGTTATGATAAAGTTAAGATAGCACTTAGTCACAGATTAAATTAAACCTATTTTTATAGATAATGTCTTTTTCTCCCCACATTTTCTTCCTTAAAATGTCACTACTGAGCAGAGTTAAGGTTGTTTGGGTTCCTTAACTATGCATTTTCATGTCTTAACATATTTTGACTGTATTTTAAATTAATCCTTACCTTTGCATTTCCTAGGTTTATAATGTCTGTCCTGGAAATAACTGCCAGAAGTTTTTTTGTTTTTTGCCCTTAAATTAAATTATTTTTCACAATTGTTTTTCACCCTTAAATTAAATTGGTACTATCAGTCTTAATTAGATTTACATTGTATATAGCATGTTATATGTATCGCCTATTTGAAATGGCCATGTAACTTTCCTGTATTCTGTTATTTAGTCATTCATTTGCCAAAATATAGCTAAACTATTGTGTCTTCTTCTCTTAGGCTATGTCTAGACTGCAGGCTTCTTTTGAAAGAGGCTCTTTCGAAAGCATCTTTCGAAAGAGCCTCTTTCGAAAGATCGTGTCTAGACTGCAGGCGGATCTTTCGAAAGAGCAATCCGCTTTTTCGAAAGAGAGCACCCAGCGAGTCTGGATGCTCTCTTTCGAGGAAGCCCTATTTACATTGAAGAACGCCTTCTTTCGAAAGAGGAACTTTCGAAAGAAGGCGTTCTTCCTCGTGAAACGAGGTTTACCGCCATCGAAAGAAAAGCCGCATTCTTTCGAAATTATTTCGAAAGAACGCGGCTTGAGTCTGGACGCAGGGGAAGTTTTTTCAGGAAAAGGCTACTTTTCCCGAAAAAAACCCTGAGTCTGGACACAGCCTTAGAGGTGAAATCAAACTTTTAACACAGGGATGGAATATGAGATTCTAGTACAGAGATCCTCTATGACTACTATTCCAGGCCATAGGGCTGCCACACTTGTGAAGGGGGCCACTGGGTTCATGTTAAAGTTAATTCCATAACCCCCACTCCTCACTCATCTGTGGCTCACTCCATCACCAAACATCATTTTCCCTTTGGCTATGTCTACACTGGCCACAATTTCTGGAAAAGCCATGCAAATCAGGTAAGTCAGGATAGGGAAATCTGCAGGGGATTTAAATATCCCCCGCAGATTTAAATAAACATGTCCGCCGCTTTTTTTCCGGCTTGGGGAATAGCCGGAAAAAAAGCATCTAGACTGGCGCGATAAAAGGAATAAAGCCCTTTGAAGTAGGAATAAGAGATCCTGATTTGCATGGCTTACCTGATTTGCATGGCTTTTCGGGAAATTGTGGCCAATATAGACATAGTCTTTTTGTGGGAAGTGAGAAGTGTGTGGGCATGTATAGCCTCAGGTAGAACCCTATGGCATAAGATAGTCGTGCTTAAGAAACTTGAATTGTTCTATTGTGCTGTGAATTTCACACACAGTTTCTCTGTAAATTGGGATTTCAATTATTGTAATATCACTAAGTAACATTTATTTGAGGAAAAATGCTACTTATGGGCGCAGCCCTGCAAGGAATGATTGATGCGGACTAAAAAGAGTTGATAACTCTCTCACACAATGACCCCTCTAGCAATCCAAAGTTCCACCCTAAACAAAAGTGCTTCTGAATCAAACACATATCCTAGGTTAATTTGTTAGACAGACTAATAAGGAGGGGAACAATTATTAGGTGTCAGTCATCATGGTATCTAGGCATTTGAGGAGTCTTAGGTGTGCAGTTTAATTTTTCACTCTAGTGAATACAAATTAGTGATTATTATTATACAGAAATGGAATTGTCATAGCCAGTCAGAGTATTTTTCAAGTTATGCAGCTCTTTAGGTTCTGAGTGTCTGGTTTGCCTAGATTTTGTAATTTTCTCAATAATGATATGGTACTCTAATACTCTGCCAATCGAAGTGCAGATATTTAGATAATCGCAGTGCAGTTCTTAACAGCACAGTAACTGGACTGTGAATATGTAAGTTTATCTACTCTGTTCTCTATAATCCATTCACTCTGAGCAAGTGATGGGAGATTCTGAGCATAGACCCAGTCAAAGGCATTCTGTTGACTTAAATTGACTTTGCATCAGGCTCTGAAGTAGAGACATGCCCCTTCTATTTTTTACACTGTTTGTCTGATCCTGGTACCACTTTTTTCAAGAAGACTGGTATTGAAGATTGCGAGGAGTTTGGCCTATTCAGAAACAGGCCACCTTCTGTGAAAGATCTGTAATTGTTAACTCACCTGAAACATAAACACAAACAAACATTTTTAAAATCAGTTACTTAGTTCTCCACGAGAATACTTGGTTGCACACACTAAAGGTGTTAGAAAAAGGTGGGAAAAAATACCATAGTTTGAATCTCAAGCCTACTGTTATAGAGAAGGAAGAAAGGAGGATGTTCATGAATCTAAAAACACTGCAATTTTATCACATATTAAAGTATTGTTCCACTCTGATAAGTAATATTAAACATGTCATTCTAGAGTTTGTGTTTGTCTGTCACTCAACAATTTCTAAATCAAATGTGCTCAGTTTACAAATAAAATGTGTTTTTTCCTGATTGTCAGCACTGCAAACTCATTTTGGCTTCTGAAAATCAAATTGGATTCTTCACATCTGACACATCATCTCCAGTAATAATAGCTATACAGCCTAAAGTTGTTCCTCTGATGACTGCTGTGCCACCCACTGGATGCTGATGTTTCCTAGTCTTGGGCCTGATTCTCCACTACCTTACGTCTTGTTTAGTTATTTATCTTTGAACAATGCTAATTGCTATCAAATCAGAATGGTACCACACTCACTTTGCATCACATAAGGTATAAGATAATGGAAAATCAGTCTTATGGAGTGCAAGCATCGACAGCAGCCCTCAGATTCAACACAAGTATGAGTGATGTGTTTGAGATGTCCATATGCAAGCTGGCTGGTGCTTGATTTGCTCCCACTTATCTAAGTATAGGATACCCTAAGGGTACCCTGGCAAGCGCCATGATTTGGATCATCCTCCTTCTAAACACGATTGATCAGTAGAGAGGTGAGGTGCTGTGCTAGGCAGGAAAATGAAAGCAAAACATAGCTACTCTTGCGCACACAAATATTTCTTCCACAATTTATGTCAAAGTTCTAAGATCCTAATTGTTTGTGCCAAACATATCTTGGGCTTTTAATGCTTCATAATTTTAGGGTTGCAAATTTGGCAGTTTTGCCTCCTTTTACTTATTTCCATTCTCATAAATAGAAAATAGCTTCAGAATACGCACCTCAACAAATAACTAAGTGATGCCTAAGAACATCAGCAAGCTTTAGGCATCTGCAAGTCTTAAAAGCCCTTTGTGCATTTACTGTGTATTCAGCCATAATGAAAAACAAGTATACGAACAAAAAAAAATGTTAAAATGCATTAATCTTTTGGGGTGTTCTATTGAAGTGTTTCTTGTGAGTTTTACCATAAACTTCAATGTCAGGATTTCATACTTTATTCCTGATACTGGATTTTCACATGTGTCTATCTCTGTAGCAAATTACATGTAGAAAAGATGCTTAATTTGTATGTGAGATGATTTTTTGAGGGTTGTGTTAAGTGTACTAAAACCATAATTGTTTCTGAACTATAAGAGATGTTGAGACATTATTTTAAATATAAAACTCTCTGGTAATTGCTATTAAACATATTAAGAGTAGTGTATACTGCTGATGAATAAAATTTATCAACCCAAAATTCTTCCTTGGGGAAAAATAGATTTCAGTTGACTCACAAATTTCTTTGATTTTGGCAAATTATTTTTGTTTAAAAAACCACTAAAACAATAATCTAAAAAGGATTGAAATGTTTCATTTTCAAAACAGAATATTTTGATGTTTCAGTTCAAAATAATTTTTGTTTTGAAATTACCTTTGATTTTTTTAATTGAAGAAGAAAAGTACACGCCAAGATAAAAATGAGACATTTAGTTTCGTATCAAACAAAATGTTTAGTATGATACCAATTTTTGATGTTTCAATTTTCTGAAATTAAAACAGTGCCAGAATACCATAAAATCAATAATTCATATAGTATTAGGGGATACATAGTTTTTGTATTTAACTAAATCACTCCTGTTAAAAGAAATCAGCAGTACCAAATGGAACATCCTTCTATAGGTATAATTGCATCAACAGATAAGTAATTGTATTTAATGCCACCTTAACTCTGAGGGCTTATCTATGCACAATTTTCTAAAGCAATAGAGTCCATATGTACGGTTATAGTAAAGAAAGAAATGTACATTCTGATATATCTTAATAAAGGCCAGATCATGAAGTCAATCTATACTCAAGTCAGTGAGACTTCTGTACAGAGACCAAATCACACAATAAAGTCCTTGTTGCTTAATATAAAATGAAGCATTTTCAAGATGTTAGAATTTAGAAATGATGAGAAATGGCCAAATCTTTGTTTTTATTTGAGAACAGATACCTTGTTTTTACTTACACTTTTTGGTTGATATGTAAATGAATGCATTGCTCTCTTTCTTGCCCTATCCTGTTACAGGAACAGTACTGTAACTCTTCAATAATAGCAGCTCTAAGTCTATCAGCCCAATATATTTAGTCTCTTCTATGACGATTGTCACCATGGTGAGTGCTTCACCACATTATAACTGTACAAAGATATTTTTCTCACCCTTTCTTTTCCCTCCATTCAACAGGCATTGGACTATTGGATGTTTTTGTTGTTGTGATGGATAGTGTGGGGGTGGTGTTGTCTTATATGGGAAGACTAAATCCAAGCCATCTGAAGAAGTGGTATAGTTGGTGCTATCCATGAACACACAAGTGCCCCTGTTCATTCAGGGACAAGGCTTGCACACACCTTACGCCTTAGACACTATGACACAATCCTAATTATAAGAAGGAAAGAAACCCCACACTTTTATTTTCACATGGGGCCAAAAGGACCCATGGTCAACATCCCTTTCAAGCATGTCTTGATTATTATGAAAAACATCTAATAATGGACTGTAATGATACACTTTAGATCTAGGGCTTGTTTCAGAGTAGGGGCATAGGTTAGGGTAGTTAACAGCTCCACACTCCAACTTGTGCCTCCAAAGAATGCTGCATGTGAATGCAGATTTGCTTCTAAGGGTATGTCTACACTACCCCACTAGTTCGAACTAGCGGGGTAATGTAGGCATACCGCACTTGCAAATGAAGCCCGGGATTTGAATTTCCCGGGCTTCATTTGCATAAGCGAGTAGGGGCATAGGTTAGGGTAGTTAACAGCTCCACACTCCAACTTGTGCCTCCAAAGAATGCTGCATGTGAATGCAGATTTGCTTCTAAGGGTATGTCTACACTACCCCACTAGTTCGAACTAGCGGGGTAATGTAGGCATACCGCACTTGCAAATGAAGCCCGGGATTTGAATTTCCCGGGCTTCATTTGCATAAGCGGGGAGCCGC